CATCATCATCATCATCATCATCATCATCATCATCATCATCATCATCATCATCACCATCATCATCATCATCATCGTCGTCATCATCATCATTATCATCATCATCATCATTTTAAAACCTCCCCAACTTGAGGAACGAAATCTTCCGCATACAACGACGAAGAGTTCAGCCGCTACCTCTACTTACACTGGTTCGTCTCTCGTTCTCTGTTTGCTTTCCGTTTCTTTTTCTCATTTCAGAAAGCTAAATGATGTGAAATGCAGTCTTTTTTTAAACACCAGAAAAATACAGCATTACATAAGAACGCTTTTCAACTCATCTATTACTCAGAAAATCCTTGATGACACCAACAATGTTCACAGCATTGATCGCCAGCCAGACAATCTTATCAATCAATCGTTAAATCCTTTGATCCCTGGTCTGCGGGCGAGAACTAAACACTGCTTTGAATTTCAAGAGTCACCCGGGGGAGGCAAAACCACTAATTATGATTACGGCGCTTCCGTCGTTTTCGTCTGCGAAGCTTTGCAACCGGTGTGAGTCAGTGCATTCGGGCACACACACACACACACACACACACACACACACACACATGTCCAAGCACACACTCTCACATGCACGCATGCCCCCCCCCCCCTTTCTCAGTCCTCCTTGCCTGTGTAATCACAGAAATGTACACTGGGAATTTATAACGACAAAACAAATAAAAGAGCAACAAAAATAAAAACAAAAAAAAACCCAACTAAAATCTATTCTAGTATCCTTCAGCAGGTGATATTAACATTTGGATAATAATTTAATTTAATATTTTAAAAAACTTGTGTATTTTTGTTTCCTCAGCTGATGTCCAATGTCCTTCCTACGTGGGTCGCAAGCCTGACTACCTGCCCAGGAACGGAAGTAACTGGGCCAACCTGCTCATCAACAACGCTTTCCCCTGTGAAGGACAAGTTGTCGGATGGGAATACTACAGACTTATCCGAGACGGTAACACCTTTTTGTTGTCTGCTTGCTTGTCTTCCTTAATGGTTTAAACATATCCGTACGCCCTGGGATCATTTTGTACCCCAGGGGTTGTATTCTTTACATTTAAGAATACTTCTAGTGCGAAGATCTCTTTGAAACTTTCCGTATTTCTCAAAAAATCATTTTGACAGACTGCTATGCAAAGCGTACGGATTGGATTAACAAGTAACTTTCTGCTTTGGGAAGCGGTGGCTCAGAGTTCCCCACGTCGTATGGATACGATAGAAAAACACGACATACGAATAGGGTTAGAAAAATTGGTAGTTATTATACTACATGTACAAAAGCATGTCTTATTATTGCTTTAAAATACGGTAGAGTTATGCAGTAGTTTGTTTTTCTATTTATGGATATTTTGTAAATAATATTAATTATTTGTTTTCTTCTCAGCATTTTGACTTATTTTATGACTGAATTCTATTAATATAGGGCTACCTGTCTTGGCCATTGTGAGATATTGGACAGCCGTACACTGAATAAATAATTATTTCTGTAAAGAAAATGAATGGAATGTTCTGCGAGATACTGTCAGCTAGTTCACATTTTTTCTTCCTATTAATGAAATATTATGTTTCAAATGAGTTAAAACTCAACTGGGCACTCAGTGTTCTTTAACTCTTTAGTGTACCTCAACATCTCCTTCAAGTTCTTCGACTAAGGTACCCAGTACTGTTTCTTTGCATCCATTTTAATTTCAGTGAGATTCTCACAATTTCTCTGCTCTGTTTTTTATAAAGAGACGATATTCTTTCTAAAATGTTGTTCATCTTTTTTTTGGTTTTGTTTTAATAGAGGTTTTACGGCTCTCGCAACTGCATGATAAGGTCACATGAGTGCCATTTTTTTTTTTAAGAAAAATAAATTCAGCGAATTTCTTATCTTTTATCTCGTGTCTTTTCCTTCCACCTCAGGTTCTGCCTTTGTTGGTGTGTGGCGCCAGAGTGCTGATTCTGAGTTCATGTTGGTGCGCAAGACGGAGCTGCCCTCAGCTGATGTCGGTGTGCAAACTGTCACTGTCGACTCTCCAATCCCGGTTCAACGTGGAGATTTCATCGGTATCTTCTATCCTCGCTCAACCCCCAACAATGTCATTGCCCAAGCAACATTGGCTGATGATGTTGTCGCGTCTACAGAGTTGTACCAAGATTACAATGCTCAAGTAAGTCAACCTAATGTCTTTTTATAAAAGAACTTGACCCTTTGGCATAAAAATTCAAAATGTGGATGCAGACAAAGGTGGAGTAATAAGGAGACAAAAGCATTGAGTCAAGTGATTTCTATCATTACTGGAAGGGTTTTTACCTTAGAACAATTATTGTTTCATTACAAGGGATAATCTGTGATTTCACTTTTTTTTAAACAGACAAATACCTTTGAAATTTTGAAGAAAGTAAAGCACTTTATTTTAATTTTGTTATCTCTTTTTTCTAATTAATATTTTATCATCTAATTGCGCTGCAAATGCTGTAAAACTCTTACTTAAACTAAATTAAGGCTTTTTGTTCAGCAATGCTTTTTTCAAAGTTTTTTTTGGAGAGAGCAAAGATCTGGATTAATAAAACCAAAGAGAGCAAAGATCTGGACCAATAATAACAAAGAGAGCAAAGATCTGGATCAATAATAACAAAGAGAGCAAAGATCTGGATCAATAATAACAAAGAGAGCAAAATGCAGTCATGACTTTATCTTAATTCTGCTGTTTCTCTTTTCTAACCAATAACTTTCCGTGTCTCCGACAGATTTACGATGACATGCTGTCAGAAGGTATTGACTTCAACATCAATGCTGTGCCCTTTGAGTCCAGGAACGCAACTTTCTCCATCAGGGCTGTCATGGATTACCAAGGCACTTCAGGTGAGAGCAGAATCTCACGCCCTGACTCTAGATATCCTCCTTCTGTCTCAATGTATTATTAGGTCTATTATTTTTTTTACTTCAGATAACAACAGAATCGCACGCCCTGACTCTAGATATCCTCCTTCTGTCTCAATGTATTATTAGGTCTATTATTTTTTTACTTCAGATAACAACGGAATCTCACGCCTTGACTCTAGATATTCTCCTTCTGTCTCAATGTATTATAAGGTCTATTATTTTTTTACTTCAGATAACAGCGGAATCTCACGCCTTGACTCTAGATATCCTCCTTCTCTCTCAATGTATTATAAGGTCTATTATTTTTTTACTTCAGATAACAACAGAATCTCATGCCCTGACTCTAGATATCCTCCTTCTGTCTCAATGTATTATTAGGTATATTATTTTTTACTTCAGATAACAACAGAATCTCACGCCCTGACTCTAGAAATCCTCCTTCTGTCTTAATTTATTATTACTTTTTCACTTCAGGAATCAATTATTGCAGAATGCAAGAATAGTATGCAGGTGTTCTTGATGCTTATGATCTTTTTTTAACAGTTTGATCTACACATTGATCATTCACATCTCAGTTCAGCTTGAGATCAGGATCACACACAGTTGGAATGACCTTGTCTTCAAATTGTCTTCTGTAGTTTGTAGTGCAAGACACTTTTAACAAAATAAAAAGTACAAAAAGCTATAAACTCTCAAAAAAATTCACAATCATTAGGAGCCTACCATAAATTTGATGATTGAAGGTTTATTTACCGAATGGCATCATGCAGAAGAGTTAACGGTCAGATGCTACTGGATCGCTAACAACAACAACAAAGTTTGTTTAATGTACTTCCTCATCTCACAATTGACAAAGGGGATAACTCATTTTATCTGAAAAGAGCACACTAGTTTACAGATCATCTCCCTTGGAAATCTGAAGCTTCAAAGGAAAGTTGTTGACATGTGGCTCAGTTTGCAAAAGGTCCGAGTCAAAGAGGGGTACAAAACTGTTCTTACTATAGCAAAAGTTTGAAAATTAAATCCTAAAGTGGTTAGTGTTTTCCAGGAGTATTTCATCTCTTCATAGATGTCCAGTGATCAGACCAAGTGTATCTTTATGGAAATTTTAAAAAACTTTTTATGTAGTTGTTTATAGGCTCTAACGACACAATTTAGATCATATAGAAGCTGGGCTGAGAGGGATAAGACATCCGAGAAGAAAAACTGAGCGAGATATTTAATCAAACTTCTCCTTTCTTGGAAATGGAACTCAGGTCTATGGTGTGTGATGGCAAAACACCTATTACTACTACACCACAGACACTGGTGAAAGGTTCTACCATATTGAGTTTCAAGTAGCATAGTTCGTATAGTCGAATATCATACAGCGCAAAAAAATACCCAAAATGAAAAACAAAAAAAGTTAAGTTTCAGCTAACATGTCGTTGGTTGTCACACAGTTTTAAAAAAAAAAAAGAAAGAAAGCCAACAACCCCCCCCAACAAAAAACAAACTGTGTCCGTAATTTGTCTTACTCTGTCGAATTGTTTAGGTGGTATTCCTCCTGCATACACTTGCGGTCCGGATGAGTACTCCTGCGGTGACGGTTACTGTATCCCTAATGAGTACCACTGTGACGGAGAGATCGACTGTCCCAGCGAGATTGATGAGCAAGGCTGCCGTGAGTATACAGAAAAGATGAATCTCTGGCTGAAAGTCAGCTACATTCAATTTCTCATGTGTTTCAGCTCAACTTTCTTCTGGTTTCTCTGGCTCGTCATTTGGTCAAAATTCTTTCTCTTGTCCTGATTTTGTCGAAAAATGGTTTCTTTCGCCAACTAGGCCTTATGACTTTTCAAATGGATCCGTTTTGAGCAGTCCTCACCTATTTCCCATCAAACATCTTGATCTACTCGGTTATTTGTTGATTTCCTTTTCTTTTCGTCCTCTCGTGTTTTCGTCTATCTCTTGAGATTTCTCAGATGTTGTTTTGTCGCCTTACACAATATAAAACGGACCGAAAAAGAAAGGTCGATTGAGCAGTAGGCTTGATGATGTTAAGAAATACTACTATGCAAAATTCATGCTTTTGATATTTGCATGAGGTCGTTTTAATTCATGAGCTAATAACATTTGGTTACTGACCCAATGTGTTAAATGTTTGTATATTGTGTGTGTCTTAACATCACGCTGATCCTGAATTGTCTTTGATGTGACACGGTAATATGAAGTAACATTAATGGCTTTCAGTGGATTATGCAGTTATGACGGGTTCCGTCTGTCTCAAAAAGATGATGTTAAAAATGTTGACGTGGTTGCTGGAGATGATTTTGACACTGATATGCCATAATTTAATAAAGTTTTCCACATTCCTAAAATGTCACCCTTGCCTTGGTTTACTCACATTTTCGAGTTCACTCAATACCATTGTGACAATTTGTTTGAACTCTCATCAATCACATGCACACTGGCACAAGATCGATCTGTAATTAGATCTGTTTTTCAAAGTTCAGTTTTCTAGCAAAAAAAAAACGGCCAAGTGAATAATATACTTTGTTCTCATTCATCAGAACAGATGAAAGGACTCTTTGCAATTGTGAGAAATGACTGAAATATTCATGACAGCAGTAGATTTTTTAAAATGCTGTAATGTTCATTTCAAAAGTTTCAGATCTTATGCCAGTGATTATAATGTGCATAAAATATGACAAAACTAGCTTGAATCAATTCACTTCTCACACTTGTTCTAAAAATTCACTGTTTTTTTTGTTTCTTAAATTCTAATGATATTTTCTCATTTCTAATGAACAACACTTTTTGTTTTCACTTTTTTTGTGCTTATATTCAAGGTAACTTTTTACACTACTTTTTGGTTTGCTTCTCTATGTCTCTCTTCATAATTTCTGCTAATTACAGCTAATGAAAGTGGAGTCATTTGCCATTTCAGATTTATAAAAATGTTATTCTGATTGTACGAAAAGCTAAAGAAAAAGAATTTGGGAGCTGATGGTGGCTATGGCTCAGTTGGGGATGAACTTTGCTAACGAGGAAGTTTTGGGTCAGATAAAAATAAAAGTGAAATATTGTTGCCCTTTTTAAACCATTTTGGATCATTTTCTTCTCCCATTCCCTGTGTTCAGAAGGGGGCCCGAGTACTCTGTATTCTTAAATTGTGTGGAGTAGTGAGTCTGTCTACTTTTGCTTGGGGAAAAAATGAAATGAAATGAAAAGTAGAACTCATTGCACTGTTAACTTGAAAAGTATAAAAAAATGCAAGTTGAATTATTTTTTACCTTTTCCACCCTTATTAATTG